ACATTAAATTTGTTAATATATTAAATTCATCAAACTTATTAATGCATTAAACATATTAATATATTAAATAAATTAAGTACATTAATACATTAAATACATTAAATATATTAATACATACAAATAATTTTTGAATAAGGAAAATCACTTAAAAATCTTCTGTGCATTTTGAAGAAATTAAGATTTTTCAGTAAAATCAATGGATTCCCTGGTGATTTTTTATTATCTTAAATGAATGATTGCATTTATTGATCCACTAAACTTTTTCTAACACTTGCATTTCATCTATAAAAATAATTTAGTTTATATTACTATGACATATAATTTGAATAGGAGCAGAGTTTCATTTATCGTCCGGTTTACACTCCTCCCCAATCTTTTAAACAGGCGTAGAGGTTAATCCTTTTTTTTTTCCTGTTTAGGACTGAGTTTCTGGTTCCTTCTAAAATATTTTCCTTCTCTTTCACTCCCAGTAGATCCTTATGTCTAAGTGACATTATCGACTTGGTTTGAGTGAATTGGTTAATATATATATATATATATATATATATATATATATATATATAGAGAGAGAGAGAGAGAGAGATAATATTAGTGGTTAATATACACATACATATATGTACATATATCTAAAACACAATGTAATGAATTAATAAATTATGACCATGGAGTACTAGTGTTTCATTGCAGATAGATTTTACTTAAAGGAACGATTAGTTAGCTTATCTTCATACCCTGCCTGGTGGCAAACGCTGCTGGTGGCGGTCCCGCCATAGCCAGCGAAACCGTGGTATCACCCCTGGTCGGCGGCTGATGAAGACAGGGTATCGGACGTGCTGACACACGTTGTATGTTAATATATATATATATATATATATATATATATATATATATATATGCTTTTAATCATCTACGGATTTTTGCAGTAACGTATGATTGAACATTTTAAATGCCCATTTCGTCTCTCTTATTTTGACTTTCTTTTTATTTTTCTCTTCAGGTCCCCCCTTTCTCTCTCTCTCTCTCTCTCTCTCTCTCTCTCTCTTATCTGAATCTATGTAAGAACTTAAGAACTGACTCTAATATTATAATTTACTACTCCAAGATCTATTAATGAAGTAATGCTAAATACATTGGAAATGACTATTCAACTAGTGTTTAGTCAATTTCCAGATTGTAAGCTTTTTTCCCTAAACAAACGCTTTCAAAATTCAGAGTCAAAATCGCAAGGAAAATTGCTTAAAGAGAAAAAAAAAAAGAATTTTGGTGCTAACAAAACACACAAAATATTTTTCGCTATACATGCAAACTATAGAATGATAGCAAATGCTACAAAGGAGTTCCTTACGACACACTCAAGCGCCATTTTGAATCAATAAATGAAAAATCTAACAGAAGTTTATTTGTAGACATAACCATATAACTTTCACAGTATTATTTTCAAAATGAGGCTCTACACTTTGTGTATCCTTCGCTCGAAACAATCACTAACATAGTAAGCATAAAAATTTATATCCACGCATAACAATGTATTATCAGCATATAGTGAACAGTAACAAAAATGCAACAATAAATTTTATTTCAATAAAAGTTCCTGGTGCATGAGAATAATTGAATTATTATAATCTAAATAGACATGCCGTCACATTATCCATTCAGAAGCATTTACACATATCCTTCTCTGCAATCAATGAATCAATATAAATCTAAATAACTTTTACAACATTCCATTAACAAAGCAGATTATTTATAAGAAATAAAAAGGAAATATAATTTTTTATTATATTTCCTTTTCATTTCTTATAAATTTTATACAGTAAAATAGAAAAATCGTAAAAGTGAAATATCCTTGGAAAGTCTCCTCCCACTTTGTTGATAGGAACTAATGTGAAAAGCAAGAACATATTGATTGGACATCTTCAATTAGAAGACATAATTATCCAGCAATAGAGAAAGCATTCAAAAATAAGATTTCTTTTTTGTGTGTTTTACGAGAAAAAAATTACATCTTGTGAAATATTTAGTAATTTTACTTCATTTTTTTTAATAATCTGGTATTGAAACCACCAAGCGAGAGCAGACCGCAAATTTTGACTTGAGGTCTCACTCTCCACACGTCAGAACTATTTAATATGAACTAAAATCTCTATATCTCAACGTCTCTTGGAATTTGCAAGCTTGTATTTATATCAGAGAGTATCCCAACTTTTATTATAGTCTAACCTAAGTATGTACAGTTACTAAAATTAACACAGGTTCCAATGACCATTTTCAAATAGTAATTAGATTTACAACGCATTCAGTCTATAAAATATGATCACGATACAACAGAGACTTCATAATTATTTCTCATTTTCACTTATTTTCTATCATTTTATCTATTTATCACAATACTAAGGTCGGTTGTAAGCTTCTGTTCAGATTTTTTTTACGCCTCTAACAGCTAAGAAATTTTTAATTCTCTAACTGTTCAGACATTTTTAGGCTTTGCTTTCAGGCCAGAAAAACTTCATTCATACGAGTCATTCATATGTAGTAGTAGTAGAGATATATTCTTGTTTCTCCAAACTATTTTCACAGTAAGAACAAAAGAAATATGATGAGAGTAAGACTTGTTAGAAAATTTTAATAATTGACAATCAAAGAATTTGAGTCTATTTAATTCTATGAAATAAAAATGATTCCAAACAAAAATGGTAATTGTATATCAAAAATATTTTTGCATCATTATTATTATTGAGGAATTTATTATTAATACCTCGATGCAAAACTTCTTACTTTAGAAACATTGGCTCCACTTGTAAATACGAGATAATGAAGAATTTGTTCTCAGGAAATTCAGAGAAAAAAACAGAATTTCCATTTCACTCATAAGTTATTAAATCGGATATTGTCTTTTATTTTTGTTATTTTATTTTTTATAAATAGTAAACGCATAAATTCAATGAATTAAAACCCTTCAGTGGCAAATTGTATGATATATATATATATATATATATATATATATATATATATATATATATATATATATATATATATATATATATATATATATATATATATATATATATATATATATATATATATATATATATATATATATATATATATATATACATATATATATATATATATATATATATATATATATATATATAATGATTTGACACCACAGAACAAATATAATGACTTGAAAAGAACTGAAGAAATTTTTTCCTTAAGAATTCTTGCGGCCAACACTTCTTCAGAAGGATTCGTTGGTGTAATTGGGATGAGACACAAGACGATTTTCACAACATCGAAATAAGGGGAAATTACGGAATACGACTAAAACTAATTTATTAGTAAAAAAAAAAACGAATAAAAAGATAGCTGTAGTGTCGTTCCGTCATTTATAGGTTGCTTAAAATTAAGATTGTTTCCTGTTGAACGGGTTTTCAGTTTTCCTCCTCCTCCTCCTCCTCCTCCTCCTCCTCCTTATGTTTGCGTCTGTTTCGATTATCCTTTTCTGATATTAGGAATAAGTTATCGTTCTTTGATTTTGTTTTGTTGGCTTTTCTCGCTACAATTCGTTTACAATTTGAGAAGTGTACAGAATTACAAGAGCAAAATTATCTTAATTCTCTCGTCTCTAGTCCATATGGTTTTGAAAATAGATATTTAGATAAGCATTTATTTAATCTCTCCAATGTCTCCCTTACTGAAATTAGACGATTGGTTCTTTCCAGGGAGGAGGATGAAATTTTATATCCCCCCTTCTACAGTAATCAAGGAGAATATCTTTTCTGAATTTGAATTCTGATTCTCCCAGTTACACTTGCACAAACCGTTCTCTCCTGACAGATTCTCTTCGTGCAAAACTAGATTATTCGAATTATCTAGCGAATATTCATCTCACTCTTTTGATCGTGATTTCCTTGCGTGGCAGATGTTTGTTTCACGATCTTACATAGAGCTTGGTCCGCTCATCATTTGAAGTTTTTACAAGCGGTTTATATTAAAATACACCAATTGTGCCTATGCAAAAAAAAAAGAGCAGTTTGCCAGCTCACTGAGGTTATTTGGCGGGCGTGAGTAATATTTCTTCCTCTTTATACTCAATCGCAACATTCATCTTTTATTCTTTTTTACTAATAAATTGGTTTTAGTTCTGTTCCGAAATTTTCACCTCTTCACTTGCTGTTTGGATTTTGAAAATATCGTTTTGTGTCTCGTCCCAATTACACCAACGCATCCTTCTGAAGAAGTGTTGTTTTCAAGAATTCTTAAGGAAAATGTCTTCAGTTCTTTTCAAAGAGTCATATATATATATATATATATATATATATATATATATATATATAGAGAGAGAGAGAGAGAGAGAGAGAGAGATAGATAGATAGATAGATAGATAGATAGATAGATAGATAGATAGAAAGAAATGACGAAATTAACTTTCTATACAGGAGATATTCACTAAACAGTATTATTGTCGGTTTAAATTTACAATATCTTTTTCTTATAAAATGAATTTTTCAAATCTATTGCTGTTTCTGATATGACTGGTCGTTTCTTTTCAAACCTTTTGTTTTTAGTCGTGTGAAAAGTCAACATCGTCTTTATGTGATTATTTGAACTTTAAATTTATTTATTTATTTTTGTTAGTGTTTCTATTAGAAGTCTTCAAGAGACATGTTTGATTGGTTTGTTTTTATTCAACTTTTTATTTTATAGCCAAATTATTATTTATTTAAAGCCAAATTTTATTTGGCTTTAAATAAACTTAAAAGTTTATTTAATAAACTTAAAAGTTTATTTAAAGCCAAAACATATTTTTGGATTATAAGTTTTTTTGTTTTTTTTAATAATAATCATTTTCTGATACGCATCCTATTAATTAACCCATAGTTGAGAGAAGAGGTGGATTCATGCCTTTCCCAAGGGTATTTGCTCGTAATTGAATATAACGAATCCGTCTGTTATTCGAACGCAGTTTACCGATTTCTCATTCCTGTCCATCCAAGCTTACATTACCTAGTATTCCCAAGCGGTCACCCATCTAGGTACTGACCAGGTTCCACGTTGCTTAAATTCGGTGATCGTCCAAGGACCGGTGTTTCAACGTGATATGGCTGTAAGCTTTTCCAAGTGATACTTCTTTTTTTTTTGTAATTTGGTAACGCTCTTTCTGATTTTGTAGCGCCAGTCTATCGGCTCGTATGAAAGATTGTCTTTTTGAAAACCTAAATTAGATTCAGTCGCATGAAGCCATTTTTAATCATTGATCCGAGAAAACGGTTGTATACGGATGACAATTTAGATATTTCTGAAAATTCATAATATATATATATATATATATATATATATATATGGCATCCGTCAGTCTACACTCGAAGAGATATGCCTTCTTCAAAGCTCAGACCTGAAGAGGCTTTTTGTTATGAAAAATCAGTTGCCCATGCAGCACACCTGCCTTTTCTACAGCACTTACAGCTTGGCACCGGCGTTGCCATAACGAAACTGAACATTATATGAGGCCGTCTTAGGGATGCCGGCTCCAGATTTGATCTTCTCATAGCCCTACTACTCATAGTTGAAAGTTTTGAATTCAAACTTTATCCTTCTCCTAGGTTGCCATCCAAGACTATAGAACACAGTGTGTCGTGATATTTATCTATTTCGTAAAATACATCTATTGGATGCTTTAGTACACATCATCAGTTACGTTTCTACCCGCGGTTCATTAGGGGTTTCGGATCTTTTAACGTCATACCCCCTCTCCAAGGTGACCCAGCCGATACTGATTGAGTATCGACTTGTGTACCTTCCGTCAGCTACAATTTTTCCCATCTACCGAAGTACATACTATACGACTGTTTTTGGCAATTTACTGTCCAATCCCGGATGACTTCCGGTTCACCAGCAATGTGCGCTCTTCCATTAAAAAGGAAACAAGCGCAGCCACAATTCCTATCTGATCAGGAATATGGCGGCGTGCTTGGCTTGAAGCGGTACGTATAGATTTGATTCCCCTACCCCCCCCCCGAGACATAAACACACAGGCATACAGAGTGAAACGTACTCAAACATCACATTCTGCTTAGACTTATCCTCATTTTCAATCATGTTAGTATGTTAATCATCCGCCGAAAGAAATCAAAATAAAATTATTTCCTTTTCCTCCTCCCCACTTTTTTCTCATCCTTGACCCTATATTTATCTGAGCGCGCGTACACACACACACCAATACATACACCAATACACACATCTAAAAAAAATAAATAAGTACCGTAGGGGGCAAACAGGTGTTAAATCTTAGCCAGGGATCACCCATAGGTAACAATTGTTCGGGGTACCCTAATTCAGTCCCCTAGTCAAGTCTCTATTGTCTGATGTAGTTTAAGGTCATACCCAAGACCATCACCCCCCAAAAAAGAAAATATGTGTATATATCAACCGCAACTTCCTTTCATTTCCTTACTTACTGCCCATCACTTTCAACCAAAACCATCTTAAAGCCTCTTCCGCTGGCAATGTTATTCAGCGAATAGCCTTATCTTTTTTTTTTTTTTTACCAGACCTGTTACACCTAATTTTGGCAACATCTTACATAGAAATCGCCCAGCAAAACCTGCAACCCATTTCAATCGGTTGGCACTGAGCTCGCCAAACGCATCTTTTACATTCCTCTACAATCAGTAAATATTTCATGGGGTTCGTCTATATTCTCTTCACATGGGACTGTTAATTATAACATGATGATTTGCTTGGTCTTTTCAGAATAAATAACCATATCTAGACAAAGCTCAGTTTGTATTATTTCCATTGGAAATTTAAGCTGCTTGCGATATCTACTCTCAATTGCCAGTCTGGGACAGAGCTGAGGAAGGATGTTTTCTTCTTCTGCGATGTCTTTTTTTCCTCGGCTTTGACAAAATTCATCGTCTTTTTATTCGGTTCATATCTGTTTTGTTTTAGACTCCTTGATGCTATTGTTGCCGAACTGGGCAGTGTATCATACACTGCCTGCAAAAGGAAGCTTATTTTACTGGGATTGGTGTACCAGAGATCTGTCCAGGAAATCTTCCTTTTTTTTCCCCATCTCGTCGAGGTCCTCCTGTTAGCCTAAATTCACCATTTTACTTGATCTAATTTCCTCCACATCCGCTCTTACTTCAGATTGAAGACAGTGAAGGAAAGAAAAAAAGGAAAGATCATAATCTTTCCTTTTTTCTCTCCTTCGTAGATTGGTAACCTAGGCCTAATCTGTTCACTGTTGTTGTTCCTAACAACATTTTCTATCTCAAACCTTTGCTCTGCTCTACTGAGTTCGTGCGATGCCTTCCACTTTATCCCAGTTCGAACCTCAATACCGGCTTCCGCTAATTTAGGATCTTTTGAATCCCTATATAGGATTGCCTCCATCGTCTTTGCCACTTCAAACATTTCCACTAATCCTCTGACGGGAAGTTGCAATGCGTTAGAAACTCTATACAGAGCTGCACTGCTTAAAAGTCCTCGGTAACCGAACCATCTTCTCAAATATCCGCTCACTTTTTTTTCTCCGTCTTCTCAACTGTTGCAAATGCCATCTCATATAACATCAGTGCTATGTTGCTATTTCCATGACTAAAAAAAAAAACGGTCTGGTAAACCGGATTTGTCCACTTTATTCAACATAGCTTCGAGGTCAATATTGCTTGATAGATGTAGGTTTATATATATATATATATATATATATATATATATATATATATATATATATATATATATATATATTTACTTATTGGGTAAAAAACAAAATTCGCAAAATCGTGTAAAAGCAAAATTATCCATGTGTTAGATTAAGTTTTGAACCGTTGTATCTTAGAAATGATTAAAGATATCTTACTCTTGGACTCTACATTAAGCAAACAGAATTGCCAAGCTTAACAGAAGAATCGTGGCAAAATCGATCATAAATGAAAATTATATGTTTATCATTAATTAATCATAGCTAAGGATTGGAAGCTCATGAAGGATTGAAATTAAATTCAAATATATATATATATATATATATATATATATATATATATATATATATATATATATATATATATTATTCCAGGATCATTTTCCAACTTATTCAATATGAACTTCGCTTTCTCTAAGGTTCAACTTTCTGTTCTGGAGTAACGAAGTGTCTCCCACGTTTCACGTATCGAATTCATTTTTAAGTCTGAATCTTCTCTCTCACGTGTCAAATATCTTATGAATAGAGTTGGATCATTTCTAATTGATCTCTTCAGATCTAAGTTGAAATGATGACCTCTCTTGCTGTTGTGACTTCCTGATCAGTTTTCCTCTCTACTGTTCTCTTTTTTTAAACTTATTCATCGTTCGCTTGATAGTTCTTGAATGGACTTTGAAGATGGAAGCCAGAGTATGGATGTTGGTAACATTACTGAAGGCCTGAATGATATTTTTCCTCTCACCATTGCTCATTTGGGAAGACAGTGAGTCTGATACAAAATGATTTTCCTAAGTTTTTCATTGATTCTTACGATAAATGGTGTCGAGATGGCTAAACATCTTATCTGAAAACCTCGAAAAAAGAAACTCAATTTGTTTAGTATTTTTTTTTAAATATTAAACATTTTGTGTGATGGACAATCATGCTGTTACACGATTCGTATATATATATATATATATATATATATATATATATATATAGTTAAGCTCTTGATAATTATTTCAATTGAGCACTCTTGAAAGACAGACTAATTCTACAAACAGCAGTCGCCTACGCTAAAAAGGCATAGCTCTTCGGTAAAATGAATAGGAGCACTCAGGTTAACTGGTGTTTGTTTACATTCATAAAAACAATACGCTAGAATTAGCAGTTTCTCTCGACCGAGTGCCGACTGGCACCACATCTGTTGGGTTTCGATCCTGGCTTGAGGTTTTCAGATGTCTAGTCTCACTGAGGAGCTGTGATACAACGAACCAGTACTGTTTGTGAATTATATATATCTATGTATATCATACAACTATACTTTTGAGGTATGCTATATTTATGGGTAACAGTGCCAAATGTCAGGCATAGAGTATAGAGCGTATGTAAATATAAAGGTGGACGCAGAGGACAACACCGAATGCTAACAGTTTGTTTCATGCTTAGACACAATCTTCAGGCCACATACACACACATATATATAGAGAGAGATAGAGAGGTAGATATGAAGAGAGAATGGGGTAGAGAGAGAGAGAGAGAGAAAGAGACATCTCAGCAAATATGTTGCGCTATATTTTGTTGAAAGTAGGTTCGAGTAGGCAAAAGGAAACCTACTTGTGTGTGAAAACCACTGAGAGTTTGTTCTCTTTTATTCATTGCTTGTTTAAATGGCTCATTTTTTTAATGGATCTATCTCCTGGGAATTTTCATTTATATTTTCTCATTGACCATTCTACATTCAAAACTTTTTAAAGAAAATTATGCTAAATCAGAATTCCCTTGTATTCCTTATTATTTTTTAAAGTCTTATAAAATCTTAATTATATTCGTTTGTTTTAGCTTTCTTTGCGATTTACTCGCCTTGTCACTTTTATCTTTCTACAACTTTTCTAAATATTTAGTTTTACTTCTAACGCAGTTTACACTTTCAAACATTATTGCTTTTGATAATGTTTACGTTAAGATTTTAACACAGCTAATGATTTGCTCACAACAGGTCTCCATTCAACGGATATAAGCATTCGATAAAATCTTTAGTTGATTGGACCAATTGTTTTTCGACCAATTGTGCTTCGTATCTTTATAACTGACTTTAATGTCTGGCTAAAAGCATATCTGATCTCGGTATTGCGTATGAGTAACTCGATATATTATTAAGCCATTAACAGTTCAGATCGGCAGCGTTTAGGCGGATAGAACAGAAACTTAGTCTTCTATTGATATATTTGAAATGATTTAGCAACAAAGTGAAAGAAACAGGATAAAAACAAATCTTCCGGTGAAATGACCAGAAGACATGTTGTCTTAATACAAAATACAGTTTCTCCCTGAAATCCGTTCATTAAAAAAAAATGTATCAAATAATGAGTCAGAAATTATTTGCGTGCTTTGTCTGGAAATTTCTCATCTGACTCTTGGGACGAA